CACACATTTTGGAGAAAACGTGGTTGGAACACTTGAAGAAAAATCCGCTTAAAAAACCCGTTCTACTTTAAAAATGGAACGTCTTTTTCAATTTGTAGCCCCTAGTATGTAGTGTATTACGAGAGTAATCCGATCTTGCCATAGCGTTATTTGATCAATGTTCATGTTTGATCCAGTCTCATCGGTTGTCAATAAGTTTACGACACCCTCAACCCTGATAATGGGATATTTTTTTTTATACTCCAACTACCACGAAGGCCTAAGGCCTAAGCACCCATTGGGTACCGTGGGGCTATAGGGGGATACATGGGAAAGGGGGAACGCCACACGGACTCTGGCGAGGGAACACGTGTGCATGCAACATGCACACATTCTGGCTCCGCCTACGAGATCCGCCGGGTGGTACCTCCGCGTTCGACAGTCAGAGACCGTCTACCACCTACGGACAATCACAACATCCATAGCCAAGAGAAAAATTTCTCATGGGACGGGACTCGAACCCGCACAGTGCACGGCGACTGATCAGGAGACCGAAGAGTCTACCACTGCGGCCACCGCTGCTGCCTAATATTTTAGGACTTGTGCTTATTGAAGCATTTTTTTGATGTAATTTCTACCTTAATAATATTGCCACGTTATTTCTGAAACATCCTGCATAGATTGAAGCTTGGGGGTAATAAGGAATAAAAAGGAAATATCCAAGCTTTAGAGTGTCTTCAAGTTGGATGAAGACACAATCGGTTTCGTATATCACGAGTCGGTGTAGCAAGTTTCTTTCGCTCATAGACAGGAAGGACGAAAGTAGAAATTTTGTAATGAGAAGCTTCGAAGCTACTGAGGAAATTTTTCGAAAATTTCTGCTTATCTGCACTCTCAATCGAAACCTGTTTCTGGAGTAAATTTTGAGTGCGTAAATCATGAATCTGATATCAGTTTTTCGCTGAATTTACAGGTGACCACAAAAAGTTAATTTAGCTACATTCAACATCAGTCAAATTTTAAAAGATTGAAGGCATAATGTTGTAAAAATTGCATATCTCTGTACCTCCGAGCCAGACTAGGTTAAGTCAATTTTTGCCTAAAATGATGTTACGTCCATGATAATAATGTTAATTGCCATTCAGTGTGTGACTCAACACATGATATTATAAATTCGTTACTTCCTTATTATTACAGGTAAAAGGACGCAAATCAAATTAACAATATCATCATGAACTAATTTTTAAGACATTGTAATCGTATTATCTCATCTAAACTCAAAAAAATCTATAATATCACTAAAGAATCTTAAGGTTATTTGAGATAATATGATTACAATGACCTAAAAATTAGCGAGTTTGTTCATGATATCAGTATTTTCTTTTGTTACCTGCAATTCAAAATTATATGCGATTTACGTGTAAAAAAGCATTTTCTTTACTTTTTTATAAATCTCATAAGCAATCTCAATTTTGTGAAATTAAAATTTCATGAGACATTTAACTACTTCTGATGCGTTCGTAACGTTAGAAACAAACTTTTCTAGTTATAGGTGCCTAAGCCCCCATAGCTCCTCCACTGAATTCATCACAGGTATCCTTTGATTTTAATTTTCTGCTTTAAAATATGAAAATCCCACGTTCTTACAAAGCTATATTGTGTCGACAGAAGGCGTGGTTATATAACTATTCTTACTTTATAGCGAGGAAAAATTATATTTCCATAACTAGGTAAATTAAATTCAAGATACATTCATAGGTTTTAGGCGCAAGCAACTGAAATCAAGGTTAATGTTCCTATTTATTTACGAACTCTTGAATTACCATATCTTGGTGTTATTAAGGAGGAATATGTTTACGACATAACATAATTATTCCTTATACCATGAAATGGGAAATGCAGCTGTTGGCGCTTAACTCAGCATTGTGAATTTCGAAATTTCTCTCATTGATTGCGTTTTCAAAAAAATTGAAGTTTTATGAGCTATTGTGTTGGACAATAAGCATTTCTGGATTTTCCACTTTTATTCTCATATATACACTGAAAACCAAATTTGTCTGACGGCTTGAGATCAATGTGTACGAGAGAGAAGTGTGTATAGAAGCGGGCTGAATAGCGAAGCGCAACACCGCGTTGCCTAGCAACGCTGACGCGGCAATCTGTCGCGTTGCCAATATGTTCTTTGAATTGAGATGCATGTTGAAAATGATTCTCTACTCTAATGGTTTCATTTTGAGCGTACACACTTTTGAATTGTGTCGAATATGTTTAGGATCGATTCCGGATCGTTCGTAACCGCGCTTCATTTTAGGTCGTAATGCATGAAATGAAACGTCAGGATAGCCAGATATTCTGCAACATTGCATCATTGGTTCACTTGACAACACCGCATCTCGTATATTCCAAGGCAAGGTTTCCACCTCCATGATCAAAGATGAGCGATTTTGGTCAATGCCCATCTAGCGCTCGTAGGGGAGTGTCGTCCTGCTTCGAAATGGCTTTAACCTGCGTACTCGCAGGCAGTGATAATTGTATCAAAGTTGAGCGTTTTTGTATACAGAATCACTCATAACTAATCATCAAAAAGTTTGGAAATATCAAAGTGCAATAAAATACGAGTCATTCCGTATAAAAAAGTGACCAATTTTGTCATTTTTTTTAAAGCAATGATCCACATTTATTACATATTCGGATAGATCCTTTCAAGGGGAAAAGATTAATACAAAATACTATAACGTTTTGATGCTTGGTTGTTGAGTTATATCGATTCCGAGTACTGGTTCCCCCGTTTTGAAAATTTCGTAATTCTCGTAACAGATTCGTCATCAGCGACCTGAAAAACCACGGATAATTTTTCTTAAAAACGACATAAAACACGAATAAATATTTTGCACGTTCCAATTTCCAAAAATATTATTTTCTAGTTATTATTATACATATAAAGCTGTATAAAAAATTGCAATATATTGCGCTTATGGCTAGTCCGTCTCTGGCGGACTGAATAAGTTGATAGTATTAGTTAGGCTATATCGTCGCCCAAGTTCTAACACAGTAAAAACTGACAAAAAGAGAAAAAAAAACGGTGTACCTTTTGATTACCTAACAAGTGACACGCATATTGTTTGAGTACGCGATGTTAAAACTTATGCGATGATGTGTGAAAATTATTTAAGAAAAACCTATTTTCAACGACATCTCCTTCAGGGACTTGTTTCTCCATTGAGAGGATCAAATGCAATAGTTTCAGAATCGTCCAAAGATTGACCCATTGGATTCTTCGCCCATGTTTGGGAATCATCCTGGGTACTGTTGCGTCTTGTGGAACTTCGAATTTCGCTGTTTTTTTCACTTGAAACTTAAAGAGGGTAGTCCGATAGATTATTTTAATTGAAAAAAAGTGTGGATGAAGCACGCTTGTCTAGAACATTTTTCCCAAAATACTGTATTTTTAGCAGCAGTCGGCCATATGACGTTGACGTCTGTGCATATGTCATGTATGACAGACGCTTGCCGGCGGTGTTGCCGGATTGAGCTCCGCATTTAGGGAAAAATATGAAAAGTGGAAACTTTATAATATATATATTAATTAATGAAACACTAAAACGAAAAACTGAAACAAACAACAGTAGCAAAATAAAAAGCGATTCTTAATAAGTATAAAACAAAAAATAACGATAGTAAGCTAAAAAACAATAAATTGTCAATACTTATAAAACAAAAAGTAGTAAAACAAAAAAAACTATTCCATGTAATTATAAAAGACAAATAACGAACAGTAAAATAAAAAGCCAATTTTTTTATAATTACATTTAATTGTTTTACATTTTACTACTGTTTCTACTTTTTGTTATCACTTAGAATGGCTTTTTATTTTACTGTTTGTTATTTTATGTTATTTACATGGTATTTTTTTGCTTTACCACTGTTTTTATTTTTGTTTTTTATGATTATTTACAATTTATTGTGTGTTAGCTTACTACTGTTATTTTTTGTTTTATACTTATTAAGAACCGCTTTTTATTTTGCTATTGTTGTTTGTTTAAGTTTTTTATTGATTAATATAAATGTACCTATATAGATTTTCCACTTTTCATTTTCCCTAAATGCGGAGCCCAATCCGGCAACACCGCAGGCAAGCGCCTCTCATATAATATATGATGTCATATTATGACATATGCACAGACGTCAACGTCGTCATATGGCAGGTGGCGGTGTAAATAATGATAGAAATGACTGCAAAAAATACGTCTTATGGGAAAAAATGCATGAAAAGCGTGCTTCATCAACACTTTTTTTTTATTCAAAATAATCTATCAGACTACCCCCTAGAAGTTTCAAGTGAAAAAACAGTGAAATCCGAAGTTCTACAAGACGCAACAGTGCCACATCCTGTACATGACTAAACTAAGACGAAACCATCATTCTGAGTTACAAATAAACTGCCAAAAATATGAAGTAGTTTATATGTTAATGTTTATATTTCTAGTTAGATAACTACTTACCATCTCCATTCGGTCAAACAAAACCGTTTTTCTCTAATTTTGTCCGTCAAATTCTCACAGCGTAAGTTCCTGTTCGAATGTCTGATTTTAAATTAACTCCGTTAATCACAGAACACATGAGGCTCAAGGCTCAATTTCCAGTGATGCACTAACGGACATGCACATAAGCCGAAAATGCAGAATCACTATTTATATTAGCGTCAAGCTGAACGTATAGGCAACCATACTTACAAACACTCTTATTTACACGCCATCATCGATGCTCTTACAAACTGGTCAGGGTAGCCAGGTGTGGTTGAAAAGCACTGTATATAAAAAATACGAGGGTTGGTAAAAAGGTAGGCGGCTCTAAAAATTGAATTTATAAACATTCAAAAAAATGGAATTGCTAAAATAATTTCTTTTCCAATATTTAATAAGATCGTGAGACTTTTTGTGAAGAAAACCGAGAACAACATAAAGAAAAGTAACCTTGACTATACAATCCGAGCAATATATTCATAAAAAATAAAACAAGGATTTGTACTAGTCTTAGTTTTTAATGAAAATGGTGTAATGTATTTATATACATTGATTCATATTCTTCTAACGTTATTTATTTATATGGTACGAATATTTAACAATATAATAACACATTAATGAACAAATCAACTATTAGATTTTTTACTCTTGCTTTTTTTCTTAGACTTTTTCTTAGACTCTTTTAACTTGTTCTCCGTTTCCATATAATACAACTTTTCGGACGACATCGCTTGGGCTTCAACTTCTTCAGGATCTACGGTATCCCATTTTGAAGGTACGAAATATTGGAGATCAATGCCTTTTTTGGTCTTTGCCTTCACTTGTACGGGCATTTGTACCTCGGGTCCAATATCGTTGATTTTCATGGACCTCTTCAATAGGCTCGCCCCATCTAGAGGCTCGTCAGAGCTGGAGTTTTCTTCGTCTTGTGCCTGGGTGTGAGCATTGCCGAAATAGTCCTCTAATTTTTGCAAAATTTCCTTTGGGAAGACGTTGTACATTGTCCAGTAGGTTATTACCCGATTAATTCGGTATCTGTAAGGGGATTGAGACATGAAAATACCCACAAATCTCAACAATTGTGAAAATATCAAAAATCTCAACAATCTCAAAAGGCTCAAACCTAAAAAATCTCGAATATCTCAAAAATCCAGAAAATCTCAAATATCTCAAAATTCTCAATAATCTCAAGTATCTCAAAAATCGCACAATTCTCAAGTCTCAAAAATCTGTAGCATCTAAAAAGTATCGAGAAACTCAAATATCTCGATAATCTCGGAAATTTTGGAGATCTCAAAAATCTCAATTATCTCAAAAATCCCAAAAAACTAAAAAATCTCAAACTTCTCACATATTTTAAAAATCTAGAATATCTCAAATATCTCAACTATACCTTAAATATCCTGTAAAAATCTCAAAATTACCAAAAATCCTCACATCTCGGAAATCGCGATAGCTGGGAAATCTAGAATATCTCAGGAATCGTAGAAATCTTGAGAATATCAAAAATTTTCTGATTTCAAAATTTTATACAGGTAAGTTCTAATATATTTAAATGTCATACCTGAAGTTATTCCTATCATGGATCCAAGTAAGCTTTAAGTAACATTCTCAAATATGTCAAATATCACAATACTCTCAAATATATCAAAACTTTCAAAAACCTCAAAGATCTCAAATATCTTAAAATTTGCAAAAATGTCAACAATTAACATTCCCATCATTGATGAAAGAAAGCTTTAAGTAACATTCTCAAATATCTCAAATATGTCAAATATCACGATACTCTCAAATATTTCAAAACTTTCAAAAACCTCAAAGATCTCAAATATCTTGAAATTTGCAAAAATCTCAACAATTAACATTCCTAAATATATTCAAAATTTTCAAAATCGCAAATATCTCAAAATTACCGAAAATCCTCACATTTCGGAAATCTCGAGAATATCAAAAATTCTTTTCAAAATGTCATATAGGAAAGCTTTAATATATTTAAATGTCATACTTGAAGTTTTTCCCATCATTGATGAAAGAAAGCTTTAAGTAACATTCTCAAATATCTCGATACTCTCAAATATTTCAAAACTTTCAAAAACCTCAAAGATCTCAAATATCTTGAAATTTGCAAAAATCTCAACAATTGACAATCTTAAATATCTTAAAAATTTTCAAAATCGCAAATATCTCAAAAATCTCAAAATTACCGAAAATCCTGACATTTCGGAAATCTCGAGAATGTCAAAAATTCTCCGATTTCAAAATGTCATACAGGAAAGCTTTAATATATTCAAATGTTTTCCCTATCATTGATGGAAGAAAGCTTTAAGTAACATTCTCAAATATCTCAAATATGTCATATATCACAATACTCTCAAATATCTCAAAACTTTCAAAAACCTCAAAGATCCCAAATATCTTAAAATTTGCAAACATATCGACAATTAAATCTATTGAAAATTTTCAAAATCGCAAATATCTCAAAATTACCGAAAATCCTCGAGAATATCAAAAATTCTCTGATTTCAAAAGTCATGCAGGTAAGCTCTAATATATTTAAATGTCATACCTGAAGTTATCCCTATCATGGATGCAAGTAAGCTTCAAGTAACATTCTTCCAGGCTATCCCACACTGCTATCAACTGTTTCAGATCGTTATCCAACTCCAACTTAATTTTCTTTATACGACAGTTCGTCACGATATCAGAAAGCAAGTACAACCTTGCTATTTTCATAATAGGAGCTGTACCAGAATTCGTCAATGATTCTAGTATAATCTCCAACGCATCATCAATAGCATTTGTATGATTTATACAAAACACCATGGCCTCCGCTATACTTGTACGGTTCATGGTCAATTCTCTTATCATCCCGATCTGGTTCAGAACATTTAACATTAACAAACATTTAGGAGAAGAAAATACGTAAAATATAGAGAAACGAGGTATTAAGACCACATATCAGCTAATATACCCGCAAGGTGAAATAAATGCGTATTATTGATATTCTTATTATCAATAAAAAGTAGCTAAAACAGAGAAGAACTAAAGAACCAAGAAATTCCCCAAACTTGCAAAAACATGTATTTATACAGTAAAATGTGAAGTATGTCTCGACCATGAGGTATGCTCCAAGGAATACCCAGTGTTGCGTATATTTATTTCCCTGGGCAATCTAATCTTTTGCTGTCTTAGGGTCTTTATCAATGTGCTTTTACATTTTCCGACGATACAATAACGATAATTACTATATTTTCAAGTAAACTAGTAGAAGTTTTATATGTTTAAAATTTTGAGAGGTTATGCTGTTTACAAATGGTATGATGTCAGAGCACATAAACATGGCGGACAGCGTTTTCGCCTGTCTAAGAAAAATATATTTTCAAAATAAAGTTTTACGGTCTGAACAAATATACCTAGAATTTTTTTGGTCCAATAGAACAAATATTAACTATTTAAGACCTACTTAAAAAAGTGTCAACTAGTCTACTTAGACGTCATCTTCACTTTGCTGCCATACATATAATTTCGACACTGATGTTGATCATTTTTAAATAGAGATCAGTTAGAATCATCTGTCAAAATTACCATGGCATGTATGACAGCAAGATGACATCGTAATTAATTTTAATTTCTAATTACTTAGAATCAGGCACCTGACGCACTCGAACATATCGCCACTTTCATTTTCAAGAGTTTTGGTAGAATGAGAAGCTTCACATGGTGTTCTAAACGAAGTTTTTTGAAAATCATCAGAGAAAAAATGTTCTCAGAATAATTCAAAGCATCACTCATTGAATCGTTGTCTAATGTCTATAGTGTTAGTGCATTCGAAGATATCGACATTTTCATTTTCAAGAATTTTGGTAGAATGAGAAGCTTCACATAGTGTTCTAAACGAAGTTGTTAGAAAATCACCAGAGAAAAAAAATGGTCTTAGAAAAATTCAAAGCATCACTCCTTGAATTTTTGCTTAATGTCTATAATGCTGGTGCACTCGAAAATATCGACATTTTAATTTTCAAGAGTTTTGGTAGAATGAGAAGCTTCACATGGTGTTTTACACGAAGTTATTATAAAATCACCGGAGAAAAAAATTGGTCTTAGAAAAATTCAAAGCATGACTCATTGAATATTTGAATAATGTCTATGATGCTGATATACTCGAAAATATCGATATTTTCATTTTCAAGAGTTTTGGTTGAATGAGAAGCTTCACATGGTGTTCTAAAAGAAGTTTTTAGAAAATCACCAGAGAAAAAAATTGGTCTTAGAATAATTCAAACCATCACTCACTGAATCTTTGCTTAATGTCTATAGTGCTCTCGAAAATATCGAAATTTTCATTTTCAAGGGTTTTGGTAGAATGAGAAGCTTCACATGGTGTTCTAAACGAAGTTATAAAATCACCGGAGAAAAAAATTGGTCTTAGAAAAATTCAAAGCATCACTCCTTGAATTTTTGCTTAATGTCTATAATGCTGGTGCACTCGAAAATATCGACATTTTAATTTTCAAGAGTTTTGGTAGAATGAGAAGCTTCACATGGTGTTTTACACGAAGTTATTATAAAATCACCGGAGAAAAAAATTGGTCTTAGAAAAATTCAAAGCATGACTCATTGAATATTTGAATAATGTCTATAATGCTGATATACTCGAAAATATCGATATTTTCATTTTCAAGAGTTTTGGTTGAATGAGAAGCTTCACATGGTGTTCTAAAAGAAGTTTTTAGAAAATCACCAGAGAAAAAAATTGGTCTTAGAATAATTCAAACCATCACTCACTGAATCTTTGCTTAATGTCTATAGTGCTCTCGAAAATATCGAAATTTTCATTTTCAAGAGTTTTGGTAGAATGAGAAGCTTCACATGGTGTTCTAAACGAAGTTTTTAGAGAATCACCAGAGAAAAAAATTGGCCTTAGAAAAATTCCAAGCATCACTCATTGAATCGTTGTCTAATGTCTATAGTGCTGGTGCACTTGAAAATATCGACATTTTCATTTTCAAGAGTTTTGGTAGAATGAGAAGCTTCACATGGTGTTCTAATCGAAGTTTTTTGAAAATCATTAGAGAAAAAATGTTCTCAGAATAATTCAAAGCATCAATCATTGAATCGTTGTCTAATGTCTATAGTGCTGGTGCACTTGAAAATATCGACATTTTCATTTTCAAGAGTTTTGGTAGAATGAGAAGCTTCACATGGTGTTCTAAACGATGTTTTTGAAAATCATCAGAGAAAAAATGGTCTCAGAATAATTCAAAGCATCACTCCCTGAATTTTTGCCTAATGTCTAGTAAACCACTATACTAACCAATCTCGAGCACTGGTTCTCCGACAATTTCAGCCCTTGCATATTGGTATTCTTGATCAGTTCATCTGGCATCCCTTTAGTATAATCCGGAGCGATAGGCGGCAACCAAATCGAACCCCCTTTGAACATCCTGAACGGTTCCAATCTCCACTGCTTCTGACTGTCTCCGTTCAATACGGAGAACACCTTCCAGCGGTAGTAGGTGTGCAAGGGAGATTGGTAGTCGAACAGGAATGAGTAGTCGGAGTTTTTGATCTCTTGGTTCATGATGAACGCCTCAAACATCGGACCTTCACGAACCACGAACTCCACCTAGTTGGGATTGGATAACATACTTGCTATACAGGGTGCTTCAATATTTCGTGGAAATAGAAGTACCACGTATTCTTAGATTTGAAGTAGGTCGTTTCGACATGATTTACCACTAAGCAAAAGTGCTTCGTTTGACCATTAGAGGGCGTCAACGTTTTTTTAGATATTTTTGGAACTGATAGTCCGATTTGAATAAAATTTTGAACATGTGTTTTGCTAGACGCTCTAATATTTGATTTTTACAAAAAACAAAGTAAGGGTGAAAACTATCCCCACCCCTACATAAACTATACCAACGAGGTTGAATTTTTTCATTTAAAAGTCCCTTCTGCGAGTATTTACTTTACTTTTTGTCTCTTATAAAAACAGGCCATCTCCCAAAGTAGCACAGAACATTGGCTGAAGCTTTTATATAGGTATATTATACTCGTATTATACAGGGTTATCCAAATTAAGTGTCCACCATTAGTAACTTTGTTATTAGTGAAAATACAAAGTTGTTTGAATTAGCAAACTAGTAGCATTTTTAACGCTGGTAAAAATGAGAAATAAAAAAAAAACAATTGAGAGTCGTTATTTTGATTTTTTTCAGTAAAATAACATTTTTTTAAATGGAAACCCCTGTATATTATATTTTTTTCTGTTAAAGCATCAAATTTTAAACAAAAAAGTTCATAATGACTTTTCCGCTAAAGTCAAAAATAAAGTCAAAATAACGATAAATATTTTTAATTATTTGCAGTATTATAATATTAAGACGGCTATGAAAACAACATGGCGTTCGCGATTTGACAGCATTAAGATAAGCGACAAATTGTTAAACTGGACATACTCGCAACCAGAAGGCTTTGGAAAACAATGATAAAATCAAATAATGTCAAACATTAGTGTAAATACTTGTTTATAAGCTTTATTGTGTCATTAATTTAAAGAAAAATGTTCTCCCATGAAGAAAAGTGTGATATGTTAGAATGCTATTTAGTGTGCAGAAAATCCTCCTTGAGAGCAAGAGAATACTACAGTGAATTATATCCCGCTCGCATTCAACCGTATGAACGATATTTTCTGAGACTTTATCGAAAATTTAGGGGCAACGAAAATGTTTTTGCTAAAACAAGGGCAAAAAAAGAATTCATAATAAGCGAGGCCACGGAAATTGCAGTTATTGGATATTTTGAAGCTTATCGTGAGAATTCAATAGCAGATATTCTCAAGGACTCTAATTTCAGTTATGGTACTGTTCAAAGGATTTTAAAAAAATACAAATTTATTCCGTATAAGTACCGACCAGTTCAAACGCTTTTGGCAGGGGATCCAGAGAGAAGACTTGTTTTTTGCCATTGGTATCTTAGCTTCTGTCGCCAAAATGTAAATAACTTTCGTTACCTTTTATGGACAGATGAATCAAATTTTTCAAATTCTGGAATGTTTAATAGAAAAAACCACCATTATTGGTCAAGAGAAAATCTTTTGTTAGTACATCCAAGAGGCCCACAAGTCCGTTTCAGTTTCAACGTTTGGTGCGGTATAATTGGTTCAAAAATTGTTGGCCCGTTCTTTTATGAGGGAACCCTAACTGGTGAAAGATATGTGGAATTTATGTCAGAAATTCTGACTAATTTCTTAGACGAATTGGATCTTATAAGTAGACATCATCTGCATTTTCAGCAAGATGGCGCACCTGCCCACAACTCCAGAGGTACTTATCATTTTCTAAGTACTACTTTTAATGATCAGTGGATAGGAACAAATGGCCCAATACAGTGGCCTCCCAGATCACCAGATCTGAACCCACTTGATTACTTCTTGTGGGGTTACTTAAAGAACCAAATTTACAAGCGAAGGTACGATAACCTTGACGCGTTAAAGACTGCAGTTAGGGAAAAGATAACCCATATAGATGGTAGGACCATACTTAAGACAGTTCGAGCAGTTGAAAAACGTGCCCAAAAATGTATTGAAGAACAAGGTGGTGTTTTCGAGCATCTTCTTTAAAAAAAATTGTTATTGTATTTTGTAAGATTATAAGTTGATGTTGAAAATAAAGTTTGTCGATACAATTTAATTGTTTCAGATTGGAGGCCATAACTTCAACAATTTGTAACTTAGGAGAAAAGTTATTGTAAGCTTTTTTGTTTAAAATTTGATGCTTTAACAGAAAAAAATATAATATACAGGGGTTTCCATTTAAAAAAATGTTATTTTACTGAAAAAAATCAAAATAACGACTCTCAATTGTTTTTTTTTATTTCTCATTTTTACCAGCGTTAAAAATGCTACTAGTTTGCTAATTCAAACAACTTTGTATTTTCACTAATAACAAAGTTACTAATGGTGGACACTTAATTTGGATAACCCTGTATTAGAATTCCGTAAAAACAAACATTCGACCATTTATAAAAATTATGAATATGATACTAGAAATAAAAATAAACAAATAATTATTGCAGCAACAAAAAAGGAAATAATGTTGAAATCTTTTATATACTTAGGTAAAAAATTAAATCATAACTTACCAAAATGTATTGGAAAAAAAGCGAATATCACTATCAAAAATAGATTTATACGTTTATTAGTCAAATCATCTTAGAAAATTTCCCCGAAATAATTGTAAAGTCTGCTTTTATTAATGCAAGTTGTTCAAGGGGGTATTTAAAACATGGACGCTTAAAATGGGTAAACCAATTTTTGTGGGAAAACTTTTTTTGTGATTCAATTGAAAGTGTTGGCAGGAACGAAAAAATTCTTCAAAAAAGATTTTTAGGTATTATGAGACCTACAGAATGACACTACACGTAAAAAAAACCAACTAATAGTAAAAAAATTATGGCCGAGTCAAAATGTAGGTTTTGGCACTTGTTGCTAATGCGACGATAATTTCACGCAGCTACTTGAAATTCTTCAAATCCGTAAGCTTCATACTTCTAAATAAACACAACCAAATTGGAGTCGATTGGTCAAGTAGTTTTTGAGCATTTCTAATTGCTTATCACAAAACACCTGTCTTCCGGCCGTCACTACTAGTTTACTGAGCAACATACAAGGTTCGTTCAAAGGACATTTTATAGCAAAATACACTAGTTTACCTTTGCCGACAAACCATTCCGTAAGATAATTGTTATTTTTATGTGAAAAATAAAGGGTCACGTTTTTTATTCTAAACAAATTCGAAAGTTTCATATTTGTGAGTCATTGAAGAGATTCGCTATGCTATTCGAAAAACATACGTTATTATAAATATTTTAAAACAAAGCGGATGTGCCTATCACCTTTTGTTGCGAAGAAAACATTTTTTTTTTCAAGATTTCTTGATACTCTTGTGTATACATATTTAAGACCTTTTTCTAAAAGTGTGTTTTCGAAATCCCGTACGATTAAAACGACTGCGAGTTCAAAATATTGGAAACTAAACTCGAGAAAATAAAAAAAACAATAGACAAATATCCACCAATTGTAGCGAACTGACCGTCTGAAAAATTACTCAAAATGCTCGGTATTATTTCCTAATACAATATTTAAAGTTTCAGCATTGTATCTTGTGTAGCTTTCAAGAGTCATCTAATTGTTTATAACAGATTTGATATGCCTAAACGTTCGCTTGACATTTGTGAGTGTCAAGTATAGTGGTATAACGATATAGTAAACCAAGAAGCGTCGTAGGGTAATAGGAAAGAGTAACCATTTCAGAGCCGCAGGGCGGAGGTTCGAATCTACAAAGCTCCTTTTTTCTATTATTTTTTTTAATTTGTTGTTTAATTTTTAAATAGTGATAAGTGATATCGTACTTGCTTATTATATACAGGGTGTTACAGTTTATTGTTGCATAACTTTGAGATTCGATAGAACTTTTAAAATTAATGCATAAAGTCTATATAAACATGGGTCGAAAAATGCGTGGCTTCCGAAATACAGGGTGTTTAAATTTACTTTCTAAAATAGTTTTTTTAAATATTTCGAACAATATTTGGTGTATAACAGTGAAAATTGGTATACAAGGGTTTTTTGGTACGACAAAACGAACCACGGGCATAGTTTTACTGTAGCCGCTAGAGGGCGCTCTCTACTGTACCTGTAGTGTATTAGAATGACCAAAAATGTTTTCTTAGTGCAGTTTTTGCTTTTTGAATAAAAAAACTGATTCTTCACACTTTTCAACACAAAAAAGCTCTCCTGTGAGTTTTCGTTATAGTTAGCCGTTTTTGAGATATTTCGATTTTTAAGGTTCGATGCATTTTTAATTATTTATGAGAAAATAATATTTTTTTTACATTTTTGATTTGGGCATTACAAGTAATTAAGATGATCGTTTAGATTGTGTTTTTAAACACAGCAATAATTCCTAACTCCAAATAAACACAAAAAACAGAATATTAATTTGTTTAATTTTTAACAAATTAAATTAATTATTTACAACTAAAATGCTATTGGATAGTTAGGACAAACATACAAAATCTAAAGTAGTTGCTCGAAATGTAAACCCAATTGTTCAATACACAATTCACATCTACGAATGATCGAACGTGGTATAGCATTATTCAAATAAGGCCTTATTTCATCACATGCATTCCTGATTCTGTCTATTAGCATATCTCTTGTGGTTACGGGAGTCTGGTACACTTTTTCTTTTAGAAATCCCCACACAAAGAAATCTAATGGATTTAGGCCGTGGAGGCCAGGCGACTGGTCCTCCACGGCCGATTCATCTTTCTGAATAATTTTCGTCCAGCCAGTTCCTAACTATTTTCGAATAATGAGCTGGACAACCATCAAGCTGGAACCCGGCCAATCTTCTTAAATCTAACATAACATCATCCCACATATTTGCATGTTCAGCCTTTAAAAATTCCAAGAAGGTCGCAGCATTTAACCTTGCAGGCAAAAGGTAGGGTCCAAATAGTCGATTACGGTAGATACCAACCCACACGTTCACACTAAATTCATGCTGAAAATTTCTTTCCCGAACTGCATGCGGATTTTCATGCGACCAAATATGTTGATTATGAAAATTTACCATTCCACGTCTAGTGGTCTCATTGGTCCATAAAACGTTACTTAAAAACTCCCTATTATTATCAGTTCTATCAAGAATCCACTGACAAAATGTGATTCTTCGTTCTCCGTCCCCTGGCTGTAGTCCTTGCACAGGTTGCAAATGGTAAGGACGTCTATGGTCATTTCTAAGAACACGGTGAACATGGCTTGCTGAAATTCCCAAGGCACTAGAAACTCTCCTAACACTTGTGGTCGGATCTCTATGAAACTCACGCAGAATCATACGGGTAAATCTGCGCTGACGAACATTTATAGTATGTTATGATCCCTTTGGAGATTTCCAAAACAATTTTCAATTACTTGGCGATGCACTCTTACAAATACTGAGCGAGTTGGATGTCGTCTGTTTGGAAATCTTCGTGCGTATTCTCTGGCTGCTTCTGCTGTGTTTCCATTTACAAAGCCATACACAAAATGAATATCCGCTAACTCTTGTTTGGAGAATAAAAATGGCATTTTTATAAAACTTACAAAAAAAAAAACAGGTAAAGAAACTAAATTCCGTGCATTCACAATTGCAAAAAAACGTTTCAGGTTTCAACAGACAACTAACTGTCAACTAATTGACTAATTAACCTTATTCTGCTTTCAATTTCAAAAATATTTGCAGGCACAGCCTACTTCTAAAAATTATCAAGATACTGACTTTAACGTTATTTTATCATGATTAATTAAAAATGCATCGAACATTAAAAATCGAAATATCTCAAAAACCGCTAACTGTAACGAAAATTCACAAGAGAGCTTTTTTATGTTGAAAAGTGCGAAGAATCAGTTTTTTTGTTCAAAAAGCAAAAAATTGCACTAAGAAAAAATGTTCGGTCATTTTAGTATACTACAGGTACAGTAGGGAGCCCCCTCTAGCGGCTATAGTAACACTATGCCCATGGTTCGTTTTGTCGTACCAAAACACCCTTGTATACCAATTTTCACTGTTAAGGCTGCTACACACCGTGCCGGCGGCAGGGCCGCCGGCTAAGCCGCGCAAAGGAGCCGCCGTGGTGTGCCGGCGGGTTACGCGGCTTGCCGGCGTCACTTCGTTCCTGGCATTTGAGCGGTAGTGTTGTGCGGTTTGTGTGTTTAAACAAATTAAAATGTCGTTTAATTGGGACGACGAAGCTGTGCTGCTCTTAATTGAAAAATTTCATGAAAATGATATATTATGGAATCCCAGAAATTCAGACTATAAGAATAGGAACAAACGAATGGACGCATTGAACATAATTGCAAGTGTATTTGACATTGATAAAGGCGAAGTAGAGAGAAAGTTAAAAAATTCATTTTAACCAACCAACCATAAAAATATGCACTTCACTAGCGTTCTATGTGACTGTCACAACCGGAATGATGCTTGACGGCTTGTGCCGGCGGCTTGTATTGCCGGCGGCATAGCCGCTCGGCATAAACCCGGCGGCATTGCCGCCGGCACTGTGTGTAGCAGCTTTAATACATCAAATATTGTTGGAAATATTTAAAAAAAATACTATTTTAAAAAGTGAATTTAAACACCCTGTATTTCGGAAGCCACGCATTTTTCGACCCATGTTTACATAGACTTTATGCATTAATTTTAAAAGTTCTATCGAATCTTAAAGTTATGCAACAATAAACTGAAACACCCGTGTATAGGTATATAATTAAAAAATAATAAGACGCTTGGGAACCTGTTGAATCAACTAATTTTTTTTCTTGAAAACTATCCAATACGACCTGTTTTTATAGGAGACAAAAAAATGAAGTAAATAAAAGGATCTGCTAAATAAAAAAAATCAGAGTCGTCGGGAAAGTTGCAAAACAAGTCTGCTATGATGTATGTAGGGCTGGGGGTAGTTTTCACTCTTCTTGAACCCTGTAGAGTCTAATATTGAAACGTCTACCAAAACGTCTTCTAAATTTTATTCAAATCGGGCTATCGTTTAAAATATCTTAAAAAATGTGTTTTAAAAACTTTGGAACAAGGACCTAGGTATCCCGGTATGTCCGAGTATCGAGCTACTCATACATCGGCTAGACGGGCCGCGAGTTCGAATCCCGCCCTCGGATAATAGCATTTGAATGCATTTCATATCGATTAAGTTAATTAAAAAAAAATCAGTGTCTATGGTATGGCTTCAAGCCAGACTATCCAGGACACTTCTAATGAGCTGCTTGATTGTGTGAAAAGTGACCAATAAATCATGACGGAATGAATGAATGTCCAATCGAGTTATTTTGAGTCTAAAAATACGTAGAACCTCTATGTCCATCACACCCTGTATGCTCACAAGAGTAGGGTGAAGCGTTCTCGGCTGACAATGAAAGAGTGCGATTTGCAGTTATAAAACTGCACTATACTTCCATTTCCACTAACATGGGCGCTTGTCAAAACATTATCTCCGCAGGCCTGTTTAGCAATTGTGCTCAATCTGTAGCAAAACTTGATAGTACACCGTTGCTTGAAATTACTGTCACTTATTTTTAGAATAAAAAAAACTGTTTCACAAAAAAAATATCGCTACGGACAACCAAATGACTCGAGCGAGTTCAAACTTGTACTGAAGGCGGATAACATATTCCCCCGTCAGTGCTGCCAGATCGAACGCTACGTTGGCAGTTTCATCACTTAATTTGTAGACCTCGTATTCCCATAGAAACTGTGCAGGAGAATTTTGAACATATTCTACAAGTAAGTTTTTGGGCTTCCCTGTACATGTGACAAAATTGCATTATTGCTCGAGCAGTATGGATGACGATAACAACGTGAATAAATATCAAACACCTATTAAATATCGGATACCGGATTATCCAACTTCGAGGCTCTGGCTTATGACAAACTACTCAAGGAAAAGCATTTGATCATACTTCATTTTTTGAAAAAATAAGTGCCATTCTTGGAGCTATTTCAAAAATTTTATTATTTTAAAAAAAACATCTTACCATTCTGTGTATCACCATCAGTTGCTTTTTGTTCAAAGGCACGGTAACTTTGACAGCACATTTCTCCAAAAAGTGTTTGTCTTCAGTTTCTCTCCCTTGATAATTTTCTGGTGGTTGCGCGTTGAAGGGTAGTCCTGTCTGGGGTGGAGGTAGGTAGAGTTTCAAAAGATCTTTGGGAATGTAGATTGGGTGAGTAGGGATCTCGACTGACTTACCCCAACCTACGCGCATGTCGTCACGATTTTTATTCGCTAATAGAGCTCTTTCGGCATCCTAGATGAGAAAAAACACCGTCAAGTAGATTGTCTCTTTGCTCATATGCGGAACTTTGATAGAGTGCATGACCAAACCTCAAGAAAGGGATTGTTTGGATAATCCGAAGAAGAAAGTTAGTTCATGTAAACAGAGGCTAGAAAATGCTTCGTTCCTAAGATACTGGGTAAAAGGCGGAATAACCCTTTAGTCGATTTTATTCAAATTTTTGGAAATATAGTGGGTAGTCATTGGCCTAATCCCTACTGATATTAGATAGACAGATAAATGTGCTTATTTACGAGGATCTTAGTTGGGTGAATTAAATAACTCGGACAAGTTATAATATGATTTACATTTTAAATTGTTAACGCTTATGGTGGTATCAGGGAAACAAATTTTTAAACGACTGTAAATTATTGAGTCTGTTGTAACGTGTATTTAATGTTTTAAATTTAGATTTATTTTTAAGAACAATACTTTTTGTTTCTAAAATGAACAATGATGCGATAGTCTTTATTTCAAGATTTACAAATAAAGGTCTGCATGTAATTCTAGGATTGCTTTTAGTTATATATTACATAGTTCATCTTTGTATAATAAGCACCTTTTTTAAACAACTTTGGGAACAGACACACCTAACGGGAATGCTATATTTCAATCTACTTTCAAATAAGGCAAAGTAACTGCTTGAGGCTGTGATTTTCTTTGCGTTGTAACTATATTCCGTTTCTGTTTATAATCAATGGTCAGTTCCAAAAATTTCAGGTTGTCTGTTTTGTGTATCAATTCATTATTTAAATTTATAAAATTAAGGGAGCATTTAAATGTCAGAAATTTTGTCTTAATTAGCATTGAAAGACAAGTAATTGTTGTCACATCATTTTTTTGGTTGATTGTATATCAGTATCAATTTTTGTCTTATTTTCATTCATATCTGTATCTCGCAAAAGTATTATACTATCTTCTTCAAAAACTACAAAGTTTATTAAATCACTAATATAGACTAAGAATAGGATCGGACCTAATACTGATCCTTGAGGTACCTCTTCGTTTATATTTAATTTATTTGAAATAAAATGTCTTGATAATTTCAAAATTTGGGTTCCAGTACAACCACATTTTTTTAATAGTATATCATGATTTACATAGTCAAAAGCTTTGGAAAAGTCGCAAAAAGAGCTACTGGAATTTGTTTACCGTTAAACGAGTATAACTGTTGGACTGATGTGAAAATAGCAACGATGGTATTTTTTGTTTTTGAAATCCAAATTGGTTGTCACTTATAATTTCGTTGGTTTCTTGGGATCTAATTTGGACTATTTTTGTTATGTATGCTATAACAGTAATTAAGCCAATGGATCTATAATTTTCTGGTATATAGCTTGGACCTCCTTTATAAATATAAATAACTATTGATGTTTTTAAAAATTCTGGATAAACACCTGTGTTAAAAGAATATATATATATAGATATATATTATAATATTATACAGGTTGTAAACGTTATGATAGTCATTATTTAAATGGCTGTTAGAGGGCGTTAAAAGAAGCAAAAAGTTTTATATAACATGGAGGTCAAAACGGCATTTTTTTAGAGAAAAGCGACTTTAAAGTAAAATAAAATCTGACAACGCTGCAATGCCAGACCCAAATTACGACGGAACGCAGTGTAAATAAAGATGGAGTTTGTTATTTTTGGCTCTTAGGTATTATTTCATTATTTGATAATGTACTCGTAAAATGCAAACAATTAAAAAAAACGGACTTACCACTAACTGTCTCAGCGTTTCACCTGGTGTGTGAAAGTTTATTGAACGTATTAAAAAAATCCACTTATAAATAGGGAACACAATTTTGATACATTGTTTTTCTTTTTAAAACCCACACTGAACTGTTTTTGTATTTAAGGAAGGTGTTCAAAATGTCGTCCTCCACTTCCCACACAAGCTTCATTACGTCCTTCCCGAATGGTATGAGAATTTTCTTGGGTCGACGTGTGAGTATTATGGAAATTGAATATCCCGTCTCGCATAAAAGTACATTCGTCCGTCACGAGAATGTTTTTAAAAAAATCCGGATTTTCAATATTTTTGTGCAAAAACCACTGAGAGAATGTTAGTCTGCGAGGATAGTCTTCTGGTAACAAGGCATGCACTCGTTGTACATGGTAGGGATAAAGCAAATTTTCCCGTAGGATTCTATAATCCTACGCGGCGGCCTAATTCTCGAGTGCTGATATCTGTATTGATTTCCACGATATTTAATAATAATAATAATAAATGGGCTTTATTTCGTACCTAAAAGTACAAAAAAGGCGAAGTGTCGCTAAGATTAGCGTTTTTCAACTTAACCTTGACCTTAGCAAAAAAAAATATATATATAATTAAACATTCCACCAAAAAAAATGTATCCATAATTCTCAATAATTACTAAATAATTAACAACACAGAACAATTACAAGAATAGTCCATATTTCTAGCATTTTGTACTCATCACCAGACCTCGACTTGTAGTTTTAGTTTAAGCCTCTTTTTAAAATTGAATAACGTATAGTTTTGGAATGTAACAGGCAGATCATTATATAATTTAATAGCATTGTATCTGAACGATGTTTTGTAGACAGCCTTAGAATGTAAGGGTATCACTAACATATTCCTATTCCTTGTGTTCAGTTGATTTATGTCACTACATCGTGTTAACTTATTATGCAAATATTGTGGTTGTTTGGTAGCTAAGACCTTATGTGTGAGTGTCAATAAGTGAAGCTTTTGCATGCCTTTAATCTGCAGAATACCAAGTTCCTCAAATTTATGAGAAATATGATCAAACTTCCGTATTCCGCAAGAAAATCTGACGCACGAATTCTGAATACGCTGTAATTTGCTTTGTTCACTATATGATAGAGCTGCGCCATATATACTGTCACAATAACTGTTCTTTGATATAATTAATGTTTCACACAGTTTCAGCTTTACTGAAGTAGATATTATTTGCCTATGTGGATAAAACTGTTTCAAAATGCAGTATGATGCACTACATAACGAATTTACGTGTTTTTTGTATTTTAGTTCTGTGTCAATCCAGAGTCCCAGGTTTTTACACTCATTCATTATAGGAAACCGGCAATCATAGATTTTAAGGTTAATTTCCGTTTCGATCAATGTTCTTTTGTTTTTTGAGCCGAAAACCATAACTGAATATTTAGATGGATTAATTTTTAGGTTATGCGAGCACGAGATGTCTACTAGCCTTGTTAAGTCTTCGTTGAGCAATGCTTCTGCTATTTTGGAATCTGTGTGTTGAAAACTAAAATAAATTTGAGTATCATCAGCATAGTGATGGATTGTGCAATTATGGACATATTGATGGAAATCCGATATATACAGAGAGAAAAGTAAAGGTCCCAGTATGGAACCTTGAGGAACACCAAAACTTATAGCAGTTGACTGTAACATTTTCGAAGTTGTTAAGACCTTTTGATTTCTATTTGACAAATAGCAGCTTATCAAATTGACTGCAGCATCAGTAAAACCATAGTAAGACAGCTTAAGTAGCAGAAGTTTAGGGTCTATCATATCGAAAGCTTTTGTGTAATCCAGCAGAACTAAACAAGTGATATTTCCTTGATCAAGGCCTCTTATAACATCATCAGTGACATTGGCTAGAGCAGTTGTTGTACTATGGTTTTCCCTGAATCCAGACTGCATTGATGGAACTATTTCATTACTGAAAATATACTGAGATATTTGTATCCTCATTTCCCGTTCCAAAAGCTTCGAAAATGCGGGAAATAAGCTGACTGGTCTAAGTTGCGTTACAGACGTGGGAATCGCTACTTTAGGAATAGGTATGATGATAGCCTGCTTCCAAGCATCAGGGAAACAGGATGTTGATATTGCGTGATTGATTATAAATGTAATATGGTCTAAGAGCAAAGTGAAAATGTATTTTATCATAATGAGTGAGATTCCATCAGCCCCTACAGCATTAGTTTTAATAAATGAGAAACTCTTCGCAACAGATTCTTTGGCAACCTTTTGGAAACAGAATGACTTGGGAAACTTATTGTTTTGATATTTGTTCAGTAGTTCTAATTGCTTTTGTGTCTTGGTTATGATCGGAATATTTGAGAAATGTGAATTTATTTCATCTGCGTCATTGAAGCTAACTGGAAGAGTATTTATAGAGGACTTAATTATATTAAGTTTCCTAAGAGAACTCCATATTGCTTTACTGTTCCTCCCAGTTAGGATATATTCCATATAAGCCTTTTTCTCTCGCCGCAGAGCAGCAGCAGCGTAATTACGGAGTTCTTTATAATAGTTCCAGTGGGCAGTTGACTTACTTCTTTTAAACCTTAGATACGCTTTATCTCTAGCTTTATTGATCATTTTAATATTGTATGTTAGCCAAGGAGCTGGTGGCTTAGTAACTCTAAGTGTTCTCATAGGTGCACAATGGGTGCTTAGGCCTTAGGCCTTCGTGGTAGTTGGAGAATAAAAAAAAAATTATCAAATAAATTTAGTATGTTGCTATGTAAAAAACTTACCATGTCATTAACGCTGTTTAATTGAAAAATATCATCCCAATGAGTCGAATGAAATAAATCATTTAAAATTTGTTCCTCCTGCTCTACAGTAGCCTGTCTTTCACGAGTGCGAATATTAGTGGGCTGAACACTTCCTGTATCTCAAAGTCTTTGGTACACTTGCACAAATGTCCTTCTGTCTGGGTGTACCTTTTGGCGAAAGCTATCGCGATAAATTTGAGCTGCAAGATTTGAATTCTGACGAGCTTCACCGTAAACTAACAACATGTCGGCGAACTCTTGACTCGAGAACATTGTAAATAAAGACGACGACGTACGAGTACAAAAACAAAACAACAGGCCCGATGCCCGATAACTAACCACTGTTACCGTTTGCGATCGATTGCCGGTTCGATAAGAGTGATGAAAGGCCGACGCGCTGTTGTCATTTGTGTTTTTAATATTTAGATTAATGAAACTTACTTACTGACTAAACATTTTGGCTTAACTTAGAAAAACTTAATGCCATTTATTTGTTAATTTAAAAACGTTTTAGATTAGATTAGAAAAATTAGTAAGATTGTGGTCGATATAAAGCACTTAATTTTGTAAACTATAAAGCCGTTTAGACAAAAATCTATTGACTTTTGGGCCATGGGTCATATGGACTTTTTGACTTGTTCAATAATGACTACTGTAACGTTTACACCCTGTATAAAAGAGGTGCATTTTGGTGTATTCCTGTATGGCATACACAGTCATGGTGGCACTACACAATCATGAATTAATAAAAGTCTCTTGCTGACATTGCAAGACATTTTCAGTCTAAGAAAAAAAACGAAATTTGTAGTAATGGGAACTAAAAGATCATCACAGGATAAACATTTCTCCGATTTGTTTAATGCCTATAATTTGAAAAGTACACGACTTAGATTTTTTGATATGTTTCTGATACCTATTATGACTTGCCTATCCCCCGTTTCTAGCTTAACGTCGACTACTGGGACACCCTGTATAAGCATTTTTCTTAGAAGCACCCAAGCAATGACCGCTTGATGCTTGCCCAAGTACCCCCTGTTTTTCACAGAATGAATTTCAGCATTTGATTAAAAATGTTTATAAATAAAATTTAATGTTGAGTCTTATTACCTTTCGACTCATATACGCTACAAAGCCACAGTTGCTACCTCTGAACGATTTGATTTCTTCTCCTCTGGGCCACATGATCTTAACGCTTGCCAGAGGTCCGAACGAACCAAATTCTACCATGAGATGATTTTCTGTGACCTTTGGACTCAAATTTGTTATGTACAAGTTTGTAGAATTGGGATCTCCTCCTAAAAAGTAGTGTACATTGAATCATTCAGCAAGATTTCGTTGCAAGAGCGTTTGAGAAATAGGAGGAAAAATCAGGAGACAGTTTAGGAACGTGCAAATTCTCGCATATATTTCTCATTCCTCCCAGAACAAATTACTGCTTTACCCTAGAACAGAGTTCCCCAAACTTTTTTGTGTCGTAGACCCCTTGCCATGTTTTTCCGTGTTGGGTAGACCCCCTACTTACCTGATATTGATTTCCTGTAAATTTCTAACGGTAGTGAAGTTTAGTGTTAAAAACTTAAACTAAAAACACATGTTAATTTATACATTTATTAATTGAATTTAAATTAAAACTCCTCAAAATAAAAGTTGTATCTGTTATGTAAAATATACGTAACATTAAATAAACAGATGTCTGACCAATAAGTGCCCGCATTGGGAATAAGTGCCCGCATTTAAAAAAAATAAGAGGGATAAAATAAAAAAAAGTGAAAAATAATAAAAAAAAAGTTTTTTACTTAAAATAGTACAATAAGCGAGTTCGTTTATTAATTAAAACATAAACGTATGTTCTACAATAATTTCACTGTTAGTTTGATTAAATTCCGCTTCTTATACGTTTAAGTTATCTAAAAATAGGCAAAAAATTAACGAATTTTCTATAAAGGGGGGTTCTTAAAAAAAATCAATGCGGGCACTTATTCCCAATGCGGGCATTAATAGGTCAGACACCAATAAAAATAAAATAAACTATAAATAAAACAACATAAGCAATAAGTCAATATTTTTAGTGAGAAGGATGAACCAGATGCTTTAATAATAAATTATCAACATTTGGCGTCAATTTTGTAAGGGTTAACCTTAAATCTCCTCGGCTAATCATGTCCAGTCTGTTTCTTTTTTTTGTTAGGAGATTGGTAACAGCGCTGAACCCCCTTTCCACTAGGTATGACGATGGAAAGGAAATTAAAAATTTCTCCGCTATATTCCATAATACGGATAAGTAACGGGTATGTTGTTTTGCAGCCAGAATTGCTGATATCCGTTTTTAAACTGGACCTTAAGTTCTTCGTTTGTACTCGTTCAGTCAGTTCCTCTTGTATTATGACATTCGTTTCTTCTATGTCACCATATGGATTAATTATCCACGGTGGTATTACCATAGTCAAAATATCCTCAAACCTAGATTCAAAATCTGAATAGAGGGCATTTAAATGTTGAACGTAAGTTGAAACGTCGTCTTAATGGCAGCTTGTCTGTGACAAATTGGGGAACTGAGAAAATTCGCCCCGTCCAATATTTTGCTTCATTAGTTCAACTCTGGCAAGAAACGCTGATAAGATGGACTTTGTTTTAATCAAATTTAAACTGTCGCCTTGTAATTGCAAATTAACCATATTATATATATATCTGTTTTCCTCTTCATTAAATTTTCTTTTAAAATTTTATCTTTTGTATCCAGAAATTCTAAAATAGTCTCAAAAAGTGCAAAAAATCTTGTCAAACATAAGCCTTTCGGATTCGGTTTACTGCATCAATGACTAAATGAAGTGATTCATGCAATCTAACACTCAAATCTTTAGCAACTAAATGTTGTCGATGGATGACGCAATGTATTGCTAACACCCCTGACACATTTTGTTTTAAATAGCTTATAAATCCACGATAACGTCCAACCATGGCAGGTGCTCCATCTGTAGCTACTGATATTATATTTGATAAAGGAATTGCTTTTTCAATGAAGTAATCCTTCAAAACATGACATATTGATTCACCTTTAGTGTTGGTTATCAAAGTTCTTGCGAAGAGCAGTTCTTCGTAGATTTCTTGATTCATAATAAAACGAACATATGCCAATAATAATGCTGCATTATCAGGTACAGTTGACTAGTCCAGTTGTATAGAGACATGGGTCGTTTGCAAATAATTACATACGAAGCTTTCAATATCAGAACTCATTTCATCAATACGTCTTTCAGCAGTATTGTTGCTTAAGGGAATTCTTTTAATGATATCAGATGCAGGTTTGTGTAAAACAGTTTTTAAAACCTTTTCAACGGCTGGCAAAATTAACTTCTCTCCGATAGTATGCGGTTTTCCGGATTTTGCTATAAGTAACGAGATATTGTAAGACGCCCGGCAAACCATCATCATTTCTTTGTGACATCGAAGCGAACATTCTGTCCAGTGTAGGTCTCTTCTGAAATTTATCTTTGAGTGTTTGAAAGTATTTCAAATCTTTCTCTGTTTTATCAGGGTGGCATCTTCTCAGATGATCTTGCAGTTTAGATGGTTTCATAGCGTCATTGCCCAAAACTTTGTTGCATAAAAGGCACATAGGCGATTGTTTGTCCGGCAATGATGGAATGAAGCCAAATTTCAAATAATCAACACTGTACTGTCTACATTTCTTTTTAGATTCGGATATGGCATCAGTCATCTGTGGGCAAAATTAAATTATTTAAATAAGACAGAAAATCCAGCAGCTGTATATTGAAAATATTTTTTGATTTTTCCGAAAACATTCCATAATTCGAACATCTTCTTGCAACAATTATATTACCGATGGCTAAAACTTTCAAAAAGAAACTATTGAGGAGTACTCGTGTAATTTTTCATGATTGAATATTTAACTACTAATAACTAAAGACATGATTGGCGTAATTTATCTATCTTTGCTAACTACGAGTACAAAACTAAAATTTAATAAAAAATAATGTACTTACTTTTCTTCAGCACTCTCAAACAAAATAACACTGGCTCACTATAATTTGTGTGATATACTATCTGTTTATATTTTTTAAAATATTTTCTTAGCACTTTTCTTTTCACGATTCAGGAAACGAATAAACGTATTTGTCCCACATTCGTATTTATAGAGTGACGAATTGAACAAGTCAGTGCAAGGTAGCGAAGCTCTGAGACTGTGACTCTCAGGTTTTTACAAGTTCAAAATGTATTGCGGCCACAAAGCGAATACCAACATCCTACAACTTACACAATGTTATAAACATATATAATAAATTTTTTACTTCATAGGTACTTTTATAAATAATGTATATGTTTTGATATTATAAGATAGTATGATGTAAGTAAATAGGTACTATCAGTGTATGTGTTGAGATCCACTATCGTGGACCCCCATATTCATTTCATGGACCCCCAAATTTTTTTTCGCTGACGTAGACCCCTAGGGGTCGATATAGACCACTTTGGGAATCAATGTCCTAGAAGAATCAGGAAGTTTGGTGCTATAGAAATGAAAGTTGAAGACACGTTTCTGATATCCTCTCTTTTTTCGCGGCGATTTTCAAAAACATACCCATTACACAGGGTGTTTCGAATTCGACTCTGTTTTTGGATCTGTGAAGCGGTAAGAGATGCGACATCGGTTAAATAGAGGCAAAATTGCGACGTGTCACTATGTCCACTGGGAAAGGGGAGAAAATCCTAGAACAAAAAGACAGCTACTACACGTGGTAATGCTTATTATCTAAGCATAATGACATATTTTCTTTGTGGACTCTTCCCGCACGGGTATTATGTAAAAACCTATAAAACGTCAAAAAAAAACCTATAAGATGTCATCTTGCAGACTAGGTAGTTTTTAGGGCGCAAATAGTCATTGCACGTTTGCTCACTAGGATCGTTATGAACGTCCATCTATGGAGGAATCACTCAACTAAGCTACAAGCATTGTTGGTTGCATATGTTTTGTGGGGCCGAGTGGTATGTGTCTGAAGTTTTTATCTGTGAGAAGAAAGTTGGTTGAGTAGCAAGATGATTATGTGTATTGGTCTGCATGTGTATAAAATCAGTGGCATTTGATGTGTGAGAAATCATTACTGAATATGCTGCCAATGAAGTAAGGTACCTGTACCAAATAAGGCCACGTTAACGTTTGGATAGCTGTAACCTCATAAATATTTGCGATACGATGAAATTTTAAAGGTATTATTACACGTATGTTCAGTGAATAAGCTGTATCGGAGAGCTCCGAGAAATTTTCTTTTCATATAAAAAATATATTTTTTTTGAAACACCTTGACCTTATTAGGAGCCCAGGTATCCAAATAAGGCCATGATATGGTTTTTAATAAAGCCACGCTCAAAATATAAAACAAGACTGTTGAATTATCGAAGTTATATTTCTAATTAACAACAATAAATGATTTTTATTTCGACATCCCTGAAATAAAAACGTCTGATCATAAAAACTACCTCATAAACCGTATAGAGCGACACTGGCAAATTACATGGGGTAACACTGATACCCACTTAAGACAGATAAAACCTAGTGTAGGATCATGGCCACATCCTATCAGACTGCCACAAGAGGAATGGGTGCGCATACATCGCTTACGCTTTGGCCACACACGTCTTACACATGCACATCTTTTGCTCGGAACAGATCCCTTGAGCACTGGATGTAACTCTTCACTCACTGTACGCCACATTATGTGCACATGTCCGATATTGTCCCAATATCGACTGATCTATGGACCATTTGATAACCTGACAGAGAGTCTCACACAACCAGAAAAACTGAAAAACGTCATATCATTCTTAAAAGTATCTGGTTTCTATTGGAAGATCTGACCTAATGAACTTTTTGGAAATGAACCATTTTAATTTTTGTGTATCTTATTCTCAACTGAGATTAAATGAATGTTATGTAACGATGATTTTGCATCATACCTACCTTAGCTTAGTATTGTCATCTTGAACTAAAAGAAATATGTAGCAATAGAATTTGGATAAATCGAAATACTTACGTGAACGCAAACAAGATCGTGAAATGCAGATAATGACCACAAAAAAAATTAATATTAATGAATATATGCCTGACAAATTTAGTCGTGTAACATTTCCCAGAGATTATCTTTTGTTGCTAATAGAATCTGAAAGTAAATGACAATAGTATATCCTTTTCGATTAATATCTGGAATTTGCATACTTAGTTTTTTAAAAATGCGACACTTACCACTTAGACATGTAAGAGATTATATATTTTATACTTTAGACTTATATATTATATTTATATATTATATTTATATATTATATTATATATTATATTTACATATTATATTTATATATTATTGAATACGGCTAATAACCATAGAAGTTGACGCCGTCTAAAAAAAAAACAACAATAAATAATTCTTAAATCCAGATACATTTCAAGTAAAAAAATTAACTTGTTTTTACCTTCGCATTGCAGACAATCAAATAATACCTTATCGCCTCTAAATAAGCCTACTTATTCCTCATGGACATATCTCAGCATATTACACACAGACTCATGTCACGTATTTCATTCTTATCGCATATGAAACAGTCCCTGTTTTCGTCTTTATTCTTCTGGGAACCATTTAACATGGCCTCATTACGCACATCTAACTTTAAATATACAATTTACAAAATTGAAAACATTCAAAACCTGGCAACAGCAAATAACTACCTGCATATATGCCTTATAGATTTACCTGTTTGAATTAACAAGAGATTCCACAAAAAAAGCCGACAACATTCAAAAACGGCGACAAATTCAAAGCAGATATTTTATAAGGCACATGTTGAAAACCGACGCTGTACTTCTGTACCATCTAGCGCCGGTCCCCAGCTGATGAATTTATGGCTGCTAACTGCTTTCAATAAATTGGTAGAACTGCCGAAATCTTCAATTTTAAATGTTGATAGTTTTCTGAGAAATCGACGCATGGCATTATTAGGTGCATTTCCTTATTTGCTACAGGTACCTTATATCTTTTAGCTGTGCCCTACGAGTTATTTATATATGTTGTCCTTTCTGAAGACAGGTTATGTTCAAAGTTATAAATTACGAAAAACATTCAGGAGAATTACAGGAAATCATCACCGCGCCGCGTTGTGTGTAATTACTGTTAGCATGTATATCGCTTGTAATTCGACGGTGTACAGTGAATATAAATATTTCTTATCCCTCTCATTTTTGAAATTCAGCAAATTTGCATCTGTAATTTCCAGAATGATTAAGAAAAAGTGGATGCTTAACTAATTTCTATCTTTGAATCTCCAGTAATGTCATCTTTGAAGCAGATTTTACATCACATCAGAGCCACACACTGATAACTGAAGCCTCATGACGTTTAGGCAACAGTTAACATCTTGTCGAAAAACCTACACAATGTCAAAAAAACAAGTATGTCAAAAAAATCGATATAACGTCACTTTTCAAGATATTATGCGATTCCCGTGCCGTACAGCTGAACAGCTAAACCTACCACACTAACACCAAAAAGGTGCATATTAGATACTAAGTACTAAAGTATATTCAGATAAGAGATAGACCGGACATAAACAAGACCACGTGATCATCGAACGCTGTAACATTCGGCAGGGACGTATTAAGAGTCACGCAGTACATATTTTAGGTAGTAGATGCTGCTTTGCGTAACTTTGTAGTAAATTAGCACAATTCGATGTGTATACGATTGGTGATGGATATAGGATCATGTGGGGGTGGGGTAAGAAATATATAATGATGTAAATATACATAAGGGTTTCAAAATTTTCGCTTCGATTTCCAGCTTCGGATGCCGCCTGATGTTTGGTGAAATACAGTCGAATATAACCTCAAAATGGCGTTTAAATTAGCCTAAATTAAAAATAATCGTATATCTCTTAAAATTGCTTTTAGAATATTGATTAGTAAATTTTTTGATTTCTAGGTAAATATGTAACCAAATTAAAACGTTCAAAACGTAAAAAAATGTGCATGGTTGAACATTGTCAGAAAGTAGATTCTTGAATAGGTTTTGCCAAAATGGGTTCAAAAATGTCAATAATTAATTAAAAAATACAGTAGCTTTATAATTACTTATAACTTACCGAATTTGATGAACGACATCTTTTATTGGAAAGATGAGCTTGATGAGCTTTCATCATCGCTACTGCCTGAAGCACCAACGTCAATAATGAATGGCTCGACTTGTTCCTCTAAAATATTGTCCAGTTCCCACATTCTCTTTTCAACTTTGTCTTTCACGTGCTTAATACAGTTTTCCCATTTTTGCGCTGTTATTAATTCTAGTGCTTCTTTGAAAAGTCCTTTGAGGTCACAAAATTTAAAAGTTGTATTGTGCTTAGCTATATAATTTTTAACCTCTGCCCATATGAGCTCAATGGGATTGAGCTCGCAATGGTATGGAGGTAAACGGAGCACAGTTTTATTTTGACTTGCTGGCTTTTCGTCAATGGCGTATTTTTGATATTCCGCCTTGTGATCCTTGACAATTCTTAATAATTGTACTTTCAGCATTGCTTCAAGTTATAAACCTTTAAAAAATGAATGATCAGGAACCTGAAATACGCGCAAATATTAATATTAACAAATTATAACTTTATAAAGCTTAAAGTATGAATTAAAATGATTAGAAATATAAAACTTAGTAACTTTTTTTAAGTTTATAATATTGGACATATTTTAAGATTATATTAAAAAATTATTGAAATATCGAAAACACATAAAAACATGGCTTAAAAAAGTTCTAACAAATGAAAATGACAATAAAACATCCATGCATTTTATCGAAAGTTATAAAAGTTTTGTTACTTGTAATATGTTTTATCTGTCCCGTGGAATTAATGTTTAGAATCTTGTTCCCAAGGTTTGAAAAACATCCGATTGTTGTCTATTACTCGTATTTACCTGCTGGATTTTTTAATCCGGTGGACAGTCCATCTAGAAAGGCCCTCCTGGATGAAGTTACAGAATCACCAACCCATACTTTACTTGTAGTGTGTCCTGCGTTTACCCACGTTTCATCAAGGTAATAAATCTTCCTGTTTTGATTTCTATATTTCCCAATTTTTGTTAAATAATCCCTCCTCCATAGCACAATTTCTTCTCTATCCAGTAGTAAACTATTACGACCCCGTTTTTTCCATTTGAAATTTAAATGCTTCAGTAACGCATGGAAAGTTGATCGTTTGAAATTTGGCAACGTTGTATCTCCATTTACCTCCTGCAGTACTTTATCTATAGTAGGTATTTCATTCCTAAAGAAGAATTCATGCACTTTCCTCCTAATCGCATGCTTATCAGCTTCATCCAATGATTTAACAATACTTTTGCGATGTTTACTGGTCATTGGCTCAGAAAAGGTGTGATTTTTTTTGTATTGTCTTAACACATTAAACACTGATGCGCGACACACCCCAACTTTGTGAGAAACCTTCACAACAATTTCTTTGATGGTTGATGCCTCGTTCTCCTCGCGCTCGATCTCGATCAAAATGACCTCTTTCATTTCTGCACTCAGGTGTCTTTTTTTAGAGCGTTTCCTAGGTGGACTACAGGAGTTTACAACTTCATCGGCAGTATCTGTACTACTGGGCATTTTGCGCAAGCAGTTGATAACAATAACAATCAATAACAAGGTATAACAATAACAACGACAAACTCAACAACTTAATAAGATAACAAACGAAAACGTCCAAAGAAATATCAAATTGCAATGATGCACACGACATACGTAACACGTCTGAACCTGAATGTGACAGCCTTGATACGACTGCTCTGCCGCTCGGCATAGGCATTTAATTGCGAATTGACCAATGAGGGCTCCTGTTTTACGTCGAGACGGCGGCGTTAGCGTGAAAATCACCCGAACCTTTTGTTTACATCCGGTCTATCTCTTATCTGAATATACTGCATTTTAGATGTTTTGTGGTAGCATTTTATAGTCAAAACAATATCTCTTTTATCAAGTCACAGTACACAAAGTATGTTTCAGCAGTTTTTTTAATTCTTCCTTCTAGTAATCAAAAGTCGATAAAACCCTATACTCGAGACAAAAAGTCTAATATTCCAACAATTAGTAGTCAGCAAACTTCAATTCTGTGAAAATGTTGGAATAGCCATGATTTGAGCTTTCTCCATCATCATTCAAATACATGATTTGTAGAGAACCCCATTATATTTTTTCGTGTGAAATTTTTAAAGAACTTACCATCAAAATAACTAAGAGCCGGCAATTCGAGCTCACTTTTAATCCTCTCTTTTCACCTCTTTCTAAATGCCGTTGTTTGATTTCATCTTTCAGTAGATCTAAATTAGATTTTGGTTTTTCGATTTTCTTAGATGACTTATCCAGCGGCGGATCTTTGAGCAATTTCGCAAATTCGATGGCTGTGTTGACTCCTTTGGCCCTGTTTTGTTTAACTAAAGGTTTTGGATTATATATTTGACCCACCTGATTCGACTGGCCATCCGCATATAAAGTCTCCGATCGAACAAATGTTTTATTTGGTGCGCCAGTCGAAACATTTTGGAATGTTTCTATGAAGTCCATGAAAACGTGAGCAGTTGCCTCCTGTTCTTCTTTTCGTTTTCTTTCCAAATCGCGTTTCAACATTTTTCCAGCAAAATCTTTAAACTTTATAACACGATTTCAAATGTCTGTCAGCTGTCAAATCACAAGTTGTATCAGAGAGACATCTAGTTTGGAAACCGCAAACTCATTACAATAAAGGAAACTGCCTCGTATAGTTAGTTAGTTTCCTTGCCAGGTGACAACTTTACCAGTGGCGTACTTGCTATAAAATACAAAAGGCAATTTGCGTTTGAAAAGAATAATGCACTATTAAGCAAATTTTTCCTATATATGTATTTGTTTTCATATTTATGAGAATTAGATGTCAATTAAAATCGTAGAGTAATCTACCCGTAGAACATTAAAAAAATTGAGACGAAGCTTATTTACGGAAATATTGCTATGTCCACAGAAACTGTAATGTTTTATTCTTTTCTTCCAGACTTAATTGCCAAAGAATTTGTCGATAGATTGTTATCTGAAGGCTGTGAAGTACCATGTGATGAAACCTCAGATACGTTCAAAAACCAAGCGTGTCTACCAACCTACTATGACAGAAATTTATATAAACAGTAAGTTTTCAAATTTTCTATCAGTGTATTACAAAAAATTCATTAGCGTAACTAAAAATAAGATGTAATAATATTCATATGAATTTCATCTTTTCAGGGGTCAGCAATTTTTCTACAAACACATATTCGGCCTGTTCTTAAGTAAACTGTTAGGATTGATAGCTTTGCTGTCTTTACCATTAACTCTAAAGATACTGATGCTGACAAATATGTCAGGGACACCCTTGACGGCATATAGAAGATACATGGCTACAATATTTCATATGTGCATCTGGTACGACGAAGATTTCGAAAATGAGAAAAGGTAACTGAAATGTGCATTAATTTCCATCAATGGAGCAGATACAAGGTTTCTCTCAACTGTTGTCATGGCTTAGATTGTCTAGCTAAAATTTTAAGTGATGTTTCTATCGGAACTTGACATTTGAAGTCCACTAAGGTGAATCTCATGATCAGTATTTACTACGATCCGCCAGTATCTATCACGCAATGTGATATATATTAACTGTGTTGCCTGGACGTCTGTAATAATTATTGATGTATAAAGTTACGTAGAAGTCCACTGACACCAACGATTTCAGACTAGTTAGAAGGAGCCAGTCAAGGATTTGTTTAATAGTCTGTAGTAAGGATCAAAGTATACTTGACGTGTCAATTTTTTAACAGTTCTGTCATTAAATTCGTATATTTAGTGTTATTTTTTAAAAGGGTGAGTGTTTGCACATAACTGTGGTGTTAGAAGGTTCCAAATCATGGTTCCTTTTGCATAATTTGCAGAGTGGCACGAGCCTAATAAAGGTAGATGTTTTCACCAGTAAGTATTATTATGTTCATACAACGCTATCACTTTGGTAGGCATAGGTAGGCAAATGAGTCAAACTATTCAAATTATTCGTTGACTGACACTGACGACATCAACAGTAAATACTTTGTCCCAACCTTTAGTGCTACTATCGTACCAGAACCGTTCGATTATCGTGAGGTACCCTGTTACACGCATGCGCGGCCTGTCGGTCTAGGATCGTTTCTGGACTGTAAAAGGCGTTGGAACAGATTCGGAATCGTTTTGTGCCTCGAAATTGACAGGATAGCCAATGTTGCCTGATCTACCAATTTTTCGGACTAGCTATGAGCTATGTTGTTTACACTTGACCCTCTCTTGAAGTATGATATGGCTTAAATAAAGTTAAATCGTAACATTAACTTATTAGACAGTAATTTCTAATTAAAATAAAAATTTAACGTTTTGGGTGTAACGTTTGATCAAAATTTGTGATTCATTTCACCTGCAACAGCATTATTCAAAAATCATGTTCAAAATTTTATATGCGAATAAACATGTACTAAGGCTAACGTTAAAAGAGCTTCATGTGAATCATTGGTTTTATATCTGTGGTACATTACTCTGATATCTTATATTACAGTTGCCTGGACTGTGATAAAGATGCGTTTGCAATAAGTTCAAAATCGCTGATGTAGATTTGTTATATATCAGCAACGATGAAATAAAATCCGGTCGTCTTCACTATCCGAAAACAATTCAAAATCGATGTCCCCTTCGTCGTCACTACTCATCTTGATGAAAAATGTCGAATCACTATCTTTTTTATGTAAACACGACACACACGTTCAATCACTATCCAAGCAAGGAGGTTTGGAGAAGAAATCACCTGACAGTGGCTCTGCTGCGCATGTCAGTTCCTTTAGTTCTCCCTTCAATGCAGGTACCGATATCACCGTAACAAAACCGTCCCAAATCAATCCCAAAACGGGTTGGAACCTAATGCAGAACCGTTCTGTTACTGTGACGGACAAGGTTGGAACACTTTTTCCTAAATGCGCAAGCGCGTCACCATTCCAGCACGGTTCTACGACGGGTTGGGACAAAGCTTTATAGCTTTAAATACTGATGATGGATGGAACGGCCCCTTATGGTACGAACCACAGTAAATACGTACTGATCGTGAGTATTTCAGTATTTCAGTCATTGCCTTATTCTAATGTGGCTCGGCATTGAATAATACATATATTCCTAGGATTAGAACTCAATGTTATTACATTGTTTGCTAACCCTGATGCTTGAATTTAGAATAAAGGCTGTTATCAATTATCTAACCATTAGTCATCGATTGTCCACTTGCTTGTCTCTGGTAATTACGAATCATTAAAGTCGTCGGTAATGCATTGTGTAATGAAAATCTGCAACAAATTAAGAAAATAGCATAGGCTCGGTGAAAATAGTTTCACCGGTTTCACCAGTATTTGCAAAGGCTTGTTATTTTCATTAATACTTCATAATTATTACTTATTCCATTCAATGGTCAGTAACATGTAATTAAATTTCATCGATTAAAAAAAAGATGTTACGGCCAAATACTTTGTTTTTAAATGTCCACGTTTCACTCACCTCCACAAATGAAACCACAGACGCAAACTGAAAAATTTATCGACGTTCGCCACCTCGGTGCGGCATTGTCCCTGTACTTAAAAAAAAACCGCCGTGGTAGCAGGGTTTCGAAACGTCAGCAAATCTTTTATTTGGCGGCCAGTGATACAAGAGATTTATTAGCGAGACATTCCACAGGCCGCGGCACAGGATAAGTTTCAAATGCTACACATTAACATTTCTTTACGTTATAGCTTCTGTTGCTTGAATATTTGCGTTGTAGTCGACAATTTGTTGGCGAAGTAAAAACAGTTTTTTGCTGAATTGAACGACACGACGGGTATTATGTAAAAAACCTATAAAACCTATAAAATGTCATCTTGCAGACTAGATAGTTTTAAGGGTGCAAACAGTCATTCCACGTTTGCTCACTAGGATCGTTGTGAGCGTCCATCTAGGGAGGAATGACTCAACTAAACTACACGCATTGTTGGTTTCATATGTTTTGTGAACCCAAGTGGTCTGTAGTTTTCATATCTGATAAGAAAGTTGGTTGAATAGCAAGATCGCATCTGGATAATTATGTGTATTGGTCTGCATGTGTATAAAATCAGTGATATTTGCTGTGTGAGAAAATCATTATTGGATAAGATGTCAATTAAATATATGGATTAGCTGTGCCCGACGAGTGGGCGAGTTATTTGCGTTGTGCTTTCTGAAGAGAGGTTATGTTCAAAGTTATAAATTACGAAAAACTTTGAGCAAATCTACGGGAAATCACCACTGCACCCGCGTTGTGTTGAATTAATGTTACCATGTATATGGCTTGTAATTCGGCAATGTATGTACAGTGATTATTATTATTATTTCTTATCTCTGTCATTTTTGAAATTCAGCAAATTTGCATATGTAATTAATGGATCAGAAACAGTCGATGCGCAACTAATTTCTAGCTTTGAATCTCAAGTATAGTTGAGACAAGAATCCAATGGAATTATCATCAACACATACAACTTACAGCTTATGGTACCCATTCACGTACAGGCGGACTGCAGGCAATGGACTGAAATTTGACCTGCAGTCGTGGCCTGCGATATAGACCATACACGTTCAGTTGTATACAAACGATGCGGCCTGCAGGCCATCGCCTGACAGTCCTAGAACTGCAGGTCGCCTCATTATTTGCCATACATCCACAGTCCGTCGCAAAAGTTTCGCAGTTCTTGCTTGTAGTGTGTAGACAAAAGAACAATAAAGCAGTGGTAAAATGTTAAGAAAAAAGAAACTTATTTTGTTACTTTTGATTTTGCTATTAACTAATGAACGCGGAAAAAATGGCAAACGTTTTTGGGTGAAGGAATGGTTAAGAGATCGTGAAAATTTATCTCATATGAAACTCCTGAAGCGATTGAAAGATTCCAGCAGCGAAGATTTTAAAAATTATCTTAGGATGGACGAGGCTTCTTTCAGAAAATTATTAACTTTAGTTAAACCCCACATAAAACGACAGAATACAGTAATGAGAAAAGCCATTAGTGCTGAAGAAAGGTTAATAGTGACTTTGCGGTATCTGGCAACTGGACGTACATTTGAGGATTTGAAATTTTCTGCCATTATTTCTCCCCAAGCACTAGGAAAAATTATACCAGAAACCTGCGAATGGATTTACAAGGCGTTGAAAAAGGAATATATGAAGGTAAGTTCATAAAATTTTGGAATACAGTGCATAATATTTTAGAAAGAAATGGAATAGTTGAAGGAGATTGAAAGCCAAAATTTTTAGAAGCGTACATTTATAAAAGTACCTAGGTATTTATTTTTTAACCTAAATACCTCGCTAATATTCTTATTAAAAATTATGTATTTTATGCTTGCATTCCAAAATTTTCGCTTTTGTCGTAATTTGAAGTAATTTTTTATGTTTTAGTAAAATTTCAAAATAATATTTCAACTACGTATTTTATTGAAAAATGTATCCTTACATAAAAACTTAAAGGTGAACAACTTGTGTTATAGAAACGAATTTTAAATAAACTTTTGATTTCTATTGTCAAAAACATAGACAATAGGTAATAATGAACAAGTCGACAAGTAAAAACAAAACTTTAAGTATGTAGTCATTGAAGTTTCGTAAATTCATCGATTAAAAACCAGCAATTCAGTTAAAGATCCTTTAAGTTTCGACGTGTTGCCGCTTTCCT